CGTCACGTGACCACAGTGAGGTCGCGTGACCCCTGTGAGATCAGTGACCGCCGTGAGGTCACGAGGGTCACGCGATATCACGAGGGTCACGTGACCTCACGGTTACGTCGACGGCGACGCCGACGCCGCTCGGAGGGACAAGTAGCAGGCAGGATGAGGAGGTGAAGAGGAGGGGTATTCCCTCCCCTCAGTACACTTCCGTCCTCCTCCTCAAGAGCTGCGCTCTCATTCGGCGTCACAGGGAGTTGTTAACGGCTTTCATTTTTTTATTGCTACCATATAAAAGTTAAAATTTGTGTTTGTGTCAGAAGAGAACTTTATTTGTGTTTTGTAAACAGAACCTTGTCAGCGGTATTACGAGACTTGACCTCTAAAATATATTTAAAATAATTATCTCTGCCCCAGCAAAATACATAGCTGTTTTTATATTTCAAAATAATTTGGCATTTTCCAAATGTATTTCTGATACGTATCGCGATGCATTTTTCAAATGTATTTCAGTATTTGTATTTTAGTTGTTTTTGCCATGTATCCCTGTACTTCTATTTCGACATACCTTTTAGAGTATACCTGCCCAAACATGGCAGTACCTCTATTAGCCTGCGGTTTTTGAGGTGCATCACACAATAGTGACACACGATCGCATGTTGGAAAGATTATCATAAAGGTTGAAACTGTCGGGGGTGGCGATTGAACGCGTGATCTCTGGGTTCTGCAGCGACAACTTTCGCTCCACGTGTCCCTAGCAGCTCTGCGCTAACATACTTGGCCACCAACCCCCAAAGTGCGCAGAGCTGACTGCGGGTGGGACAAGATGATTGGAATTAAATAATTGCGACATGCGTGGTCTTGTGGTTTTCGTCTAGCGCATGCAAGCTCGGACCATGACTGCTTTGTTCGATGAGCATGATAATTTAGCCACTTTCTGCCAAAATGATTCGTTAGTCAAGGACGCTGTATGCGTGCATGACTTGTATCCTGACATGTACGTAATACGTTACTAGTAACGAGTTCCAACTACCTTGTTATATTTATGTCTAACTAGTAACGTATTTCGTTGCTTTCTTTAGAACTGGAGCGAGTTACGTACGTAGTTACTTCTAAGACTAACTAACGAGTAAGGGTATTGCGCTACTTTTGAGGAGTAACCTGTATAACACTGATTAGACAACTTCGTTTTAATTCTAAGCAGAGCGAGAGTCTATTGCGACGAAGGCAGATGCTCAACCAGAAAAAGAGAACACTACCACACTATTAAAACATCTATCGCTGAACACGTCAGTCGATCACTGCAACTAAGAATGTCACTCACCCAGCGAACACAATAAGGTTCGTTGGTTAAACCTTCCAAACTCGTGTACCGACCGAATCTAAACCCAAAAAATGTAAACACAGGAAGGCAGACAACCCATTCTCAACGTCAAACTTTGGGAGCAGAGAGAACAAAAGGGAGAGGGGCATGTCAATTCGCCACCTCTTCCTGAAGCACAACAGTGCCATTCCTTCAAGCGCGTTTATAGAACGTCTCGTCAGCGTCGCCGGAGGTGTATTCTAAAGGAAACAGGGAAACATAACTTATGTAAATTTCTAGAAGCAGTAAGTTAAAAAAAAACGATAATCAATGAAAAGAAAGCAGTTGCGGGTCTTCAAAGTAACGAGAAAATTAACTCGTTACGGAGCTCAAGCAACCTGTTCCTTTTGAGAATCGGTAACGAATTACCTATTTATTTTCTTTTTGAGCGAGGAACGTGTAACGGTATTTAATTACTATTCTTGGGAAACGTGTAAAAGTTTGTTAGTGTCCAACTCATGAATCTGATAATCATTGTTTATATAAGCCGTGTTCCTGAATAAACCTGACTTTTGTCCAGAAGTACTAATATTTAATGTCTCGAATTATTCATAAGCTCGAAAACTATAGGGTTCCGAAAGTCAAATCGAAATATTCCGAATCTTTTGATTCGATTCTAATTTGATACTGGAATACTTGCATGCCCCTGACAAATAATAATTACAACTGATAGAGGCGGGCGAAAACACAACGACAATGGGAGGAATACACACGACGAGAGCTGATGTTCAACTGAACGTTTAATGAAAGGAACACACCCAAAGAAACTGCCACACCGTTATCGTATCAACGCTAAAGATAAGCTTACAATTTTGTTTTTAATTTAAATACACCGAAGTCTGGCTAACACAATTTTCTCCCTCCTCTCTTATCAAGTAGGCTTTCAGCAGTTCTCTCGTAGCTTTGTCACCCCGTCTCCACAAAATCGTACTATCTTCAAAATTGAGCTGACACATGCAAGCGGCACAGTGTAAAAGCAGATATCCTCCCGTTGTTGAGCGCAGCGACAGGGAATTTTCGCGCGCAAGGTCGTTGACGCATCGGCCATTTTGGCCGATGTATACCCGACCGCAGCTCGAAGGAACTTGGTACACCACTCCTACTGCACAATCAACATGTTTATTTCTGTTTTACAGATCGCTTGTCACCTTTGCTTCCTCTGTCAGCCACTCTGGCACAAAGTGGCGATAACTTACTAGTAAGTTGTCGGAACTTTGCCCAGGGTGGCTGACAGAGGGGGCAGAGGTCGCAAGTGTTTTGTAATACACAGACATACGTGTGTTGATTTTTAAGTAGGAGTGGTGTACCGAATTGCTTTGAGCTGTGGTCGGGTATACATAGGCCAAACTGGACGATGAGTCAACGAGCCTGCGAGCGAACACGCCCTGTCGCTGCGCACAACAACTGGAGGACATCTGCCTTTATACTGTGCCACTTGCATGTGTCAGCTGTTGTTTAAAGATAGTACGATTCTGGGGAAAGGGGGTGACAAAACTGCAAGAAAACGGCTGGAAGCGTACTTGATAGGAAAGGAGGGCGATAATTGTATTAGCCAGACTTCGGTATATTTATTTAAAAAAAAGAACTTGCTTATCGTCAGCGTTGATTCGATAACGGTATGGTTGTTTACTTGGGTGTTCTTTTCATTAATTGTTGAGTTGAAGTTCAGCGGTCTTCTTGTGCATTCCTCGATTCGTCCTTCTCTTTTTGCACGCTGCTACCAGTTGTAATCTTGAGTCAACTCTCCTGCACCGCCACAATGATCAAATAATAATATGCGAGTTAAAATTTTATTTCTTATTAATTGAGTGACAACATTGTAACGAATGATGAGGTGACGAAACAAAGAATGACTGAAGAAATCGACATGTTTAATGGGTCGAAATTATGCCCAAAACCAAATAGGAAACAGACGGTAACAACAGAGCGCCGAGGGTGTCGAGGTCGACGTAACAGCGGGATTGAACGTTGGGGCGAGACTGACTCGATAAGGTCGCGGGCGGCCTCTTATCTGGAGTTTTTCACTAACTCGAAGATTAGGCAGAGAGGGCTCGAGCTTCACGCGCTCGGGGCGAGAATGAACACGCACTTTCTAGAACAAAAAAGCAGGAATAAATGATAGAAGTTAGTCCGGAGCAAGAATAAACGAGAACCCGTTAGAAGCAGACCGCCTCAAACTTAACGCCGCCACGGCATTTGCCGTTTCTGGCAGTCCCTACGGCGGCCGATTGAACTATTTGAAGAATGTTTGGGTTCCCGATTTCTATCCCATCCTAAGAAGGCATCCCGAACGTTTTGGTGACAAATTTACCAGTGAGTAGCCGACACGAGCTCAATATTTGGGAACCCAGTGGCGGCGTTAATTATGGGGTGCAATGCACGTGACCGAGCGCTGCTTTTTCGGCCCTGCGTGCGGTAATATTGCGAAATTTCTTGCTATATTTAATGAGCTAAAAACTAAGGGCTGGGTTGAACTCCATGTCGAATAAAACAATCTTAAGAAAGACGTTATATTTACCGAATATTGAATTTTAAGATGTTCTCAAATCAAGACAATGAAGCTTTGAAGACTTTCACCATCAAACACAGTATTGTTGGTCATAATTATATATTTTGTGGGTTTTCAAGATATTGAATAGTGCACTCAAATTCCTGCCTCAATTTCCCATGGGTTATCTTATTTTTATTTGTTTTTTTTTCAAGAACCTTATTAGATCGGGCAGCGTTCTTAAATTAGCTACTTCACTTTTCTTCACAAATAGTGTATGGTAGTATTGCATCTTTTTATATTATCATAACAGAAAAAGTTCGGTATTTAAAGGAAAACGTCCACGAACACTTGAGTTTTTCCTGTCGTCTGTAGCCACTGCGGCTGCGGGCACCTCCGGAATATATATAAAACATCTGACAATCCTAAAGTAGAAAACTAAAAAAACTAAGAACAAACTTTATGACAGCGGTGGTGAAAAGTTTGGCTTATGCACTGGAGCGTCTACTACTACTCGTTCTTCAGCAGTGTTAGATTTCTACGTGTCAAAATTGAAACTTAAATCCGTTAGGTGGGGGTACTCTCTTGTGGAGGAAACGCAAGGCTAATTTAAAGGAAGGCAGATTTAATAGCTGACGCAAGATAAAGTACAAGTTATATCTCCGTGTGCCCTTCTGCCTCACTCTCATGCCAAGTTTCTCTGGCAATCTGTCTTTCTTTCTTTTTCTTTTTGAAATTTTTCTGCGTAAATACCTTCTCGCATGTGCAAATTTTTGTTTTTCACGTTCTGTGTGACTGGCGTTTTAACTACCGGGGACTGACAAACGAACAAAAAAGTAATAAACATGTGCCTTCAAATAACGAGCGACAATCTCGGCTGCTAGGTGAACGCCGAACTCAACACTTAGATTTAGTTCTTGCGCTACTAGCTGATCACCCTATTGTACATTTTAGTGCATCCTAGTCTAAGCGAAGGTGTATGCATAAAACAGTCAAACCATTAAAATTCTAAAGAAATTGTTTTTGAGAATATTTTTCACACTAAAGTTCTGATTCCATTTCAGTTTGATTCAGTGCAATTAAGTTGATTATTGAGATTATGACTTATATCATGATAGTTTTTATTCTCTACATTGCTTTATTGCTATCTTGCATTTTCAGGTTCGCCAGTGCGATCGGTGCTGTCCTCGGCAATCATCAAGCTTCAAGAACGGGGAGAACTTGAGATTCTGAAACGCCGCTGGTGGAAGGTGAAGGGCGGCGAAGCGTGTCCCGTGGAGTCGGCGGCCTCGTCGACCAGCGAGATGGGTCTCTCAAACGTTGGCGGTGTCTTCCTAGCTCTCATCTTCGGCTGTGCCGGAGCCCTTGCAACGGTCACCTTTGAATTCTTGTGGAAGGTGAAGAAGATACCCTACGGCGAAAGGGTGAGCACCCATCGTTTGTGGATGTTGCAGAAGCCTTCAACTATTAACCAGTTTGAACTCCTCTCGACCAGGGGATCGGAGTTCCTTAAATTTTATGCCAGTCTTTGTCCTGACAGGTGCACTTGTACATAATTAGGAGGTGCGTATTCAGATTTCTGGAGTGTTTTTTTTATTATTAGTAAGGGAGCAAGCTTGCTTGCCAATGTACTTCTTTCAACAAACGCGAATAGCCCTTTTTACGTACTTGGTGAAACTTTACTATATCTTGCGATGTATCGTGTTAATTATTAAGGCATTGCATTCGGCCGGAAAATGGCAATTTTTTTTCTAAGTTTGCCTGTTTTTCACAGCAACACCTTCTTAACAAAGCGTAAAGAGCAACCTCTTTCTGCTGCAAGAGTTTGAACCTGGGATATTTAAAGTACTCGTAGACTTGCGTATGTTGGCACCCAACAGAAGAAATATGCACTATTATTTTTAGGCATTCAAAAGAGTAGCTTTGTAGGTTTCTTAATACCAATTTTCAAAATAAACATTTTGTATCAACTTGACAGTAACGCATTTGATTGCTAGCTACTTAAAAAATGAAGCCGTTTACAACTCCCTGTAACGCCGAATTAGAGCGCAGCTCTTGAGGAGGAGGAGGGAAGGGCACTGGGGGGGTGGGTCAAGTGACCTCGGGTGGCGGGGGGGGTCACATGACCTTGGGGGGTCACGTGACCTTGTGGAGGTCACGTGACCGTGGGGGGTCACGTGACATCGGGGGTCACGTGACGATGCCGATGACGTCATCAGCGACGTAACTGATGACGCCACTGATGACGTCATCAGTGATGATGACGATGACGCCACTGATGACGTCATCAGTGATGATGACGATGACGATGCGGATGCCGGTGCGTCATCAGTGACGTCACTGATGACGTCATCAGTGATGATGACGATGACGATGCAGATGCCGGTGACGTCATCAGTGACGTCACTGATGACTTCATCAGTGATGATGACGATGACGATGCATATGCCGGTGACGTCATCAGTGACGTCACCGATGACGCCATAAGTGGCGATGACGTCAATGGGGGTCACGTGACCTCGGGAGGGGTCACGTGACCTCAGGGGGTCTTGTGAACTTGGGGAGGTCACGTGACCTGGGTAACCATCGTGACCCTCGTGAGGGTAACCCTAGTAACCCTTGTGAGGGTAACTCTCGTGACCCTCGGGGGGGTAACTCTCGTGACCCTCGTGAGGGTAGCCCTCGTCACCCTCGTGAGGGTAACTCTCATAACCCTCGTGAGGGTAACTCTCATAACCCTCGTGACCCTCGTAAAGGGTAGCCCTTTTGAGGGTAACTAACCCTCGTAACCCTCGTGAGGGTTACGAGGGTTAGTAACCCTCGTAGCCCTTGTGATACTCGTGAGGGTAACCCTCGTGAGAGTAACCCTCGTAACCCTCACGAGGGTTACGAGGGTCACTCGCGGTTACGCCGACGGCGACGCCGCTCAAGCCGGGAACCTGCGCCTAAGAGCTGCGCTCTAAAACATGAAGCACACTGGAGGCCCACGTGACGCAATAAAAGAGAGATGCACCATCGAAGGCCGAAACCATCGGTTGTGAGTGAACTGGACTATTTGTCTCCATTTTGCATATCAGTTTGTGAACTACAATGATGAAAAAGGTCTTAAAAGTTGTCGCTTTCTGCAATAAATACTATGAGAGTATTCGCGCGACACAATCGCCTTTGTTGGTTTTGACTGCGACGATCACGATATGGTACACGCGTAAGACGCAGGGGTTTTGTTTTTTAATTAGCTTTGTTTTACTGCATCATGGGACAAGTAATATAGCTCATGTGTTTAGAACAAGCATTTTTAAACATTCTTGAAAAAGCATGTTACTATTCGAAATGTTGAGTTAGATGGTGTGATAACCCTCTCCATAACACCAAATAGTTATTATCTTAGATTTTATAAAATATTGTTTACGAAAACATTTCAACGCAGTACAGCCAACAAACTATAAATGAACCATTTAGTTTTTCTACTAAAGTTGGAACTAATGAAAGTAAAACAAAATTGAGGCAGCACTAGAATTGACCAGCTGATATTATCACGAATGAATGTGACAGGAGGGCGAACAGTGCACTGAAAATAAGGATTTAATAGGGGAACTTGTGCCAAGCAAAATAAAACACTAGAATCAAGAGAGCAGAAAAGTGGGCGGTGGTTAGACAGCCAAACAGCAAGCGAAGGCGAGACTGACTGATTCGACAAGGTCATGAGCGGGCCACTCCTTATCTACAGTCCGTTGCAACCTAAGAACGAAGCGCGAAGGTAAGACGTCCTGGGAGGAGGAAGCAGACGGAACGCTAAAGAGAGAAGGAGGCTTCCCCCTCTCTTCTCCAGCGTTCCGTCCGCTTCCCCCTCCCCGGCCCGTCTTACCCTCGCCCTTCGTTCTTAGGTTGCAACGGACTATAGTCTGCGTGACTATCTACAGAATTCGGCAAACACGCTTCTTCAGCGCCGCGTGCTCGGGGCGAGAATGAACAGGCATTTTCTAGAACAAGAACAAAGACGAAATGATAAAAAGTTCCGTCCGGAGAAAGATTAAACGGGAGTCTTTTAGAATTCCATGAATTCCGTGACCGAGCGGTGTTTACTCGTCCCTGAGAGTGGCATTACCCCCCCCCCCCCCCCCCCCACACACACACACCTTTAAAAGCGCATCGACCCGATGGGACGTAAAAGTAAAAAAAAGACGGCTAAAAAAATAGGGTGAGTCGAAATAAACATGCAGCGCCAGAATCCGAACGAGCAAAGAACGGCCCAGCATTCTGATGGTCGGGTTCCGTCGGGGAGCACAAATTCAAGTCCCGAAGGCGGCGAATGACCTTGTAGGGTCCAAAGTAGCGTTTGAACAGTCTCTCGCTGAGGCCGTGGCGCCGAATGGGCGTCCACACCCACACCCTATCTCCGGGGTGGAATTCCACGTCGCGGTGACAAAGGTTCTATCAGCCAGCGTCGACACGTTGCAGGTACATTATGCAACGTGGGCAGGCTGGCGTACCTCGTCTGCCCGTTGGGTGACCAGCTGGGCGTCGTCGGTGCAGTCGACCGTCGGGTCGTGGGGCAGCATGGCGTCGAGCATCGTCGACACTTTTCTGCCGTGTACCAGCTGAAAATGTGTAATCCCAGTTGTCTCTTGAACCGCCGTGTTGTACACAAAGTGACGTAGGGCAACACCTCATCCCACGTCTTGTGTTCCACGTCCACGTACGTAGAGATGATATCAGCGATGGTTTTGTTTAATCGCTCCATCAGTCCGTTGGTCTGCGGGTGGCATGCCGTCGTTCGATGGTGGTCGGTGTGACTAAGGCGGTGTATCTCTTGTGTCAGTTGTGCCATGAATGGTGAGTCTCGGTCCGTGAACAGAACTTGCGGAGCGCTGCGTCGGAGGACGATAGACTCAACGAAGAACTTGGCTACTTCCACTGCGGTTCCCTACGGGAGTGCGTTGCCTCGCTTTACCGGGTTAGATAATCAGTTACCACGATTATCCAACGCTTTCCTTGCGTCGACGGCGAGAAAGGTCCAAGCATATTCATTCCAGTCTGCTGTAACAGTGCAGTCTGGGGTGCAATGGGCTGCAGGAGGCCTGCCGGTTTCGTCGGCAGTTTCTTCCGTTGCTGGCACTTGTGGCACGATCCTGTGTAGAGGTTTTACAATCTTCGGGAGCCTGTGCCAGTAGTACTCTTCTCAGATCCTCGCGAGAGTCCCGCTGTAGCCAAGGTGACCTGATTTCGTATCGTCCTGGCAGGCTTGGAAGATCTCTTCTCGAAGAGTTGTAGGAATTACCAGGAGCCACGTCGAGTGGCTGTTATCGAACTTCCCTTTCTAGGGAATCCCTTGCCGGACGGCGAATGTTAGTAGGGACAAAGGCTCGGGGAATCATACCCCTTCGTCCGTCCAAGTGGTCAATCAGTGCGCGCTGATCAGGGTCGACCCGCTGAGGTGCTGTCATACCGTGAACGCTCACTACGCCAAGAAAGTAGTCCTCGTCGTAGTCGTCTTTGGCACAGACGGTAGCTGACTCGACGGGGGCTCTGGACAGGCAGTCGGTGTCGCTGTGTTTTTGGCCTTACTTTTAGACCACGGTCACGTCGTATTCTTGCAGTCATAGGCTCCACCTAGCAATCGTCCCGATTGGTCCCTCAGGCTAGCTAACCAACAAAGCGATGGGTGGTCGGTGTCTACTCAAAAAGGGCTCCCGTACAAGTACGGGCGGAATTTCTTGATGGCTCAGGCGACGGCCAGATATCCTTCTCGGTCGTCAAGTAATTGCGTTCCGCGTTCGACAGCATTCGACTAGCGTATGCGATCACACGCTCTGCACCCTCTTGTCATTGGACGAGTACCACTCCGAGTCCTGTATTGTTGGCGTCCGTGTGAACTTCCGTTTCGGCTGATTGGTCGAAGTGGCCGAGAATCGGCGGTGACTGGGGCAATCGCTTTAGCTCGTCAAATCCCTGTTGTCCTCCACGCAATTCGAAGTTCACGGCGTCTTCCGCGAGGCCCGTGAGTGACTCAGAATGCTTTGCGAAATCCCGAACGAACCACCAGTATTATGCGCAAGGTCCCAAAATTCGTCGTACGGCCTTTACGTCCATGGGCGGTGGCAAACCACTACGGCGCGACTCTTCCCAGGGTGGGGACATACACCTTCCTTGCTCACAGCGTGGTATAGGAGCTTTAGTTCGTCATAGGCGAACCGGCATTCCGTCGGCTTGAGGGTGAGTCCTGCGGTCATTATCGTTTCAAGTACGGACAAAGGTGTCGCAGGTGATCGTCGAAGTGGGCCGAGAATACCACGACGTCGTCGAGGTAAACGAGACAGCAATTCCATTTGAGGCCTGCCAGTACGGTGTCCATGGCACGTTGGAAAGTTGCCGGCGCAATGCACAGTCCAAAGGGCGTCACCTTGAACTCATACAGCCCGTCGGG